AATCGATTGCTCTCAGCGAGTTCTCGAAGCACGGTGGAAGTGCTTGTGTCAAAACATTCGAATACGCGCACATTGAAGTCGGGTTGAAGATTTGATTTGCACACAGGTCGCGGCGCCGGAGCCACGCGGCGGCCGCCGCGCCGCCGAGCGAGTGCGCGACGACCGCGACGACGGGCGCGTCGCCGGCGCGCCGCGCCGCCTTCACGGCGGCGTCGATGGTGTCCGCGTCCTCGGCCGACCCGGAGGCGGGCGGGGCCACGCAGACGGACCAGCCGCGCGCGAGTGCGAGCGCCGCGTAGTGGCAGACCGCGCCCGCCTCCGGGTCCGCGACGGCGAAGTCGAGCGTGGACCAGAGGCCCGCGTCCGTCGGGCCGCTGCCGCCGCCGGGCACGAGCACGCAGAGCGGGCGGCCGGGCGTCGTCGCCGCGTAGCAGCGGTCGTCGCACCCGGCCGTGGCGAGCTTCTCCAGGCCCAGGGCGAGCAGGGCCCGGAGCGGCGCCTCGCGCACGGCCGGGTCCACGGCCGGGGGCTTGGCTTTGGGCTTATTCCAGGCCGCGGGCGGCGCGAAGGCGCCCATCGTCGTCGTCGGGGCAGCAACGATTTGCTAGGTGCCCATCCAAGGGGTAATAAATAGTATGGGGTGGCAGCTCAACGAGATTATGTTGCGCGAGCTCCTCGTACTGCAACCCATCGTTTTGGGGCAATGTTGACGACTTTTGGCCGGGGACTTTTCGACGCCGCCGTCGTCGACGCGGCCCCAGACGGACCGCAGCGGTATTCGCTCCCCCGCGAAGGCGCCCGCGACAAGACTTACGCGTCCGGGCGGTTCGGGTCCGGTGGAAGGAAACCGAGGCGCGCTGGAGGGCACCGTGTCCGGTTTGGCGCCACGCGAGGAAGGGGGTTTTGGGGCAGCTCTTGGACGTGTTCGCGATGATGATGGTCGTGGACCGTCTGCTGGCGCTGCAGAGCCCTTCGTTGGTACCTATGGATGGGCTCGAGCATCTCAGGACACGAAAAGTTCTCGACCTCGAATGCCCGCACGCTGCCCGAGAAACTGTGTTGCGACACCGTCGGCGCCGGGGCTGCGCAGGCTCTGAGATCGTGGGAAAAGTGTGTCCTGAAGGTTTCGAGCCCCCCGCGGGTACCCATAGGGCGCCTCCAACCTCTAAGGACAAGAAAATATCGCACACTCGACTCACACCGCCGCCCTCTCGTCCCGCC